ATAAAATGTTAAAATATTGACAGTTAATAGGAAAAAATAAAACCCCAACAAAATCACACCATTGCTAGGTTATAGTGAATAATAAATAAATAATATAACAAATAACACATGCATTAATATGCACCATTACATTTTATAGTTTAGCTAATGATTTAAAAGTTGTAAAAGTTCTTTTCTGATATTTGTCTCTTCACACAATACTCGTGCCAAATATAGTACGGTCTAATTTCTATATTTTGTAGTACGAACATAAATGTTTATGAAATTTCTTCTGGTCTTACCCGAAGAGATACAAGGAAACAAATGTGAATAAAGAGGATGTTCACTATCAGACAAGATAACTTTAGCTAAGTGTTTACAAGAATTCATATGCCTATTGACAACAGTGCCAGTTAGTTGAGTCAAAGGGGATAGCACTGACCCTACTTACAGCCTTCAATGTTCTTCGTAGTATTATATGGTCTTTCTTGAGTAGCCCAGGGAAGAATAATGGGGAACAATAACGAATGATGGGCAAAACACATGAATTAATAAATTGTATGAGAAGAGATTGGGTTATACCTGAGTGCCTCAACTTCTTTATATAATAAGGCAGACGGAAAACTTTCTTAGAAACTATAAGAATATGAGACAACCAGCAAAGGTTTGAAGAGAAACTAATGCCAAGATAAGAAACACTTGACTTACTCTCTTTCATGGTACCATCAATATTACAACAATCATGAGATTGGATCAATCCATGCATGTCTTTTTCACTTCTCAAGCTGAAATCAACAGTATTACATTTAGTTGGATTTAGTTTAAGACCGTTTGAGCCAGACCAATCCTTAACTTCAGCTAAGAAGCCATTCATATGGGAACAATCCGATGTGGAAACTACAGGGATAGAAACGGTCAGATCATCAGCATACTTAATGAAGTTAACTTTGGGCGAGTTCGGAAAGTCATGCAAAAAGAAAGAGAAAAGAAATGGAGAAAGTACTGCACCTTGCGGCACACCACTTCCAGTTAGCTGAGAATTGGAGCGCTTTCCAGCCAAAACAGTATGCTGTTTCCTATCCTTAAAATAAGAAGACAGCCATCTAGTTGCCCAGGACTCTGTTTGTGCTGAAATCATCTTTCCTAATAAAAGTGTCCTAGGAACAGAGTCGGAAGCTGCAGTATAGTCTAAAAAGGCCGTTCGAAAGAACTTAGCACCCTTATCAAGGCAGGAAACAATATTGTGGTGTAGTACAATGGCTGCATCTAATGTATTTCTTCCACACTTATAAGCAAACTGCTTAGGGTCACTAAAAGCTTTTAAAGAAAGCTTAAGAATATTCAAAAGAAGTTTTTCCACAGTTTTCAAAAAAGGAGATGTTATAGCGACCGGTCTAAACTGTATACCTGCTCCAGAAGATGATTTCTGTACAGGTACAACCTTGATTTTTCTCCAGTCAGCAGGTACCGTTTCCTTGTTAAATGATGCATTAAAAATTTTAGTGAGAGGATGACACAAGATGTCTGCACACTTTTGAAGAAGAACGCCTGGTACACCCTCTGGACCAAGGCTGTGTGTTGGACTTAAAGATTTCAATTATAATAGTGCATCCTTTTCTTTAAAACCCGGAAAATGACCATTATCTTGACTAGGTACATCAGGTACAACCATATTAATTTGTTTCATGATAAATGATTTGTTTAAAGCATTAACATCAGAATAAGCATCAACAGACATTTGTTTTTTACTTGTAAGTTTATTGAAAAGTTTCCGAATGTTTGAAAGATTTTTACATGATAAAAATTTTTCATTATATAGTCTGTTCAACCTTCCTATTTCAATTTTTATAAGGGTGTTTATTTTACGGACACCAGTATTATCACAATTCTTATACAACTTCTCTTCTAGTCTTCTAAGTTTTTTCAGTTGCAAAGAAGAGATTCTGTCAAATCTCGAAAACAGTGTTTCATATGGACAGCAAATTTCCAAACAAAATCTTCAGATAGTCGGTTATATTAGAGATAGTAGCATCCAACTTATCGTCAGAAAATAGTTCCCAGTTGGTATCATACAACATGCTTCTTAGTGCTAGAATGTTGTCGTGGGAATATGAACGTTCACGTATCTTCTTTGTTAAATGACTAAACAATTTTTGTTGTAACTTGCCGTACACTTTCGGTAAAATACGAACAATAGAGTGGTCAGGGTTTAGCAAAGCAGCTTCCCTTCGGGTTTCATATACATCACGGTCAATTTGTTCAGACGTGTATTAAACTTGACTAGATTCTCATGACCAGGTGAAGTAAGAAAGCTGTGATCACATGAATTCAAATCACCAGAGATTATAGACAACGAGTTTCCGAATGCAGGAGCAGCGAATTCAGTAAATTCATCTGCAAACCTAACTATATTAAAAAGGCTACAATTGGGTGTTGTGTTATGTTATGTATATATAAGAATATTTACTTAAGTGTTTTGGGCGACACCTGACGGTTATGCAATCTATATTGTCATTAGAATAATTGAAGCAAACGTGATTTGATGTAGACCAACTTGTGTTTATAAAAGTGACTACCCCTCCTCCATATTTTTTCTGAAAACCTTTCTATCTTGACGAAAAACTTTATATCCATTTATTGAAACTAGATTATCACCATAATGCTGGTGCAGCCAAGTCTCTTGCATTGCTAAAACGCCAGCATTTCGATAAACATTAGAATACATTACGGATTGAAGATAATCCATTTTGTTGGACAGGGATCTACAATTAGTGTTGACGAGTTCAAGAACAGTCATTTGATGAATTTGTGTACGTTTCAGTGCACGCTGCCATCCACGATGATGCTTTTTTCTCAATTTTTGTGAATGACACAACGCAGTAGGTTGTAATGATTTTAAAAATGCGCGATTATATGTAATGCGATTGGAACACATTATTGATAAATTAAAACAAAATTGAAAGAGCGAACCAAAGTAATTTTGCAAGATGTTGTAAAGTGGAATTTTCGGTAGCCCTATGTTCAAGCAGGCCGCCATATGGTTGTCGTGAAGTAAATTGGGGATGTCCCTCGTCGACTGCATTCGTTTTATAAGAAGTGTTGTTAAGTTATAAACATTGGAGGTGCATTCAAGTGCCCTTAATTCTTCGTCGAGGTCCTTTTGAGAGCGTTGGCGCTTGATAGATTCAAGAGACTCATGGATTGAGTGCAGTAGTGATATATCCTTAGTGGAATAGTACTGTTTCTTCAACTTCCTTAACTTATTGCGGCATGTCCTCGGAATGTATTCAGCTTGGTGTCTACTTAATTTCACTACCTTCTTAGGAGCAACAGTATCTAGACAGAGGATAACATTCCTGTAAAATAGGGACACTACAGCCTCCAGGGAGTCAGTGGTAAAATATTCATCCCAGTGACAGAGTCGAATGAGTTCTTGGACTAATCCCCAGTCTGTATGTTTGTAACTACGACATATCAAGCTCCCTGAATCCTGTTTGTTTCCTGTATTTAGTGGTGAGAAAGGTGGAGAGCAGAGTACCATTCTATGGTCACTACTGGAAAATCTGTTACCAACATAGGTGGAGACTGGGATTGTGTCATGACAAAACACAAGGTCCAACATGTTGTCACCACGAGTGGGTGTCTGGACGTGTTGCTGCCATCCATAACAATCGATAGTGGCAAGTAATTCGTCGAAGCGTTGGTGGCCGGAACTACTTAACCAATTGACTTCTGGAAGATTGAAGTCCCCTGCAATTATTTTGTAATTAGTACTAAACGATGAGGCTTGTGCGAATGATTTAGCTAATAACGCATCAGTTTCTTTGGTTGAGCTTGGTGCTCGATATACACAGCCTATGAGAAGCTTGTACTTATCTCCTTGTAAGACGACCCAGAGTGAATCAGGTACCTCGTTCAGTATTTCATCTTCCACCTTACTGGCTACGAATGAGTTATGTATATATATGAGACATCCTCCACCACGCTTGCAGTCTCTATTTGCACGGTGAACAGTGTAATCACCTATGCCTATATGCACATCAAGTACAGAGTATGAGCACCATGATTCAGTAATCAGAGCTACAGTAGGCTTGGCGATAAATAATAATGTCCTTAGTTCAAATATCTTATTGATTAAGGAACGTGCATTAATTAGCAATATCGTGAATAAGTCACGGGATACTACAAACTGGCTTAAGATATCACCATAACCTAACTCTGTTTGTGCGTCAACAACGCAAGAGTTTATGAATGATACGGGGGTCGGACTGGGTGTCTGTACATCGGGGTTAGAGTGCAGTGAGGTGGTCCTAGGTGCCATGCGTCGTACCAGTGATTCGGGACACTTGGAAAATTTACCATGTGTTCCTGGATATAAGGATAGTAGAGGTTGGGCCCGGGTTGGCGGTTAGAAAGCATAGCATCAAAAGGTCTACCCATCCATGTTCTATTCGTCATACCGGTACACACCTTCATGTTGGTTTTATAACCTAAAGGAAATTGAGAGGGAAGATGCTTTGGTTGTAAGACTTTGGGGTTTTTGAGGCCTGACTTTCTATAAGGTGGAGCATGCTGAAAACCTCCAGATATACTTCTGTTTCTAGAGGAGTTTTTCGTAACAGGTGAGGGTTTGTTGACACTGTTACCCTCAGCAAGCTTATTGAATACAAAGTATTGCAGCAGTTCTACCTATTTTAACATCTTTTGGTGAAACGTTGTTTACAGGGGTACTGGTATCTAAATCAGTTCCTAGTTCCATTGGGAAGCGTAATTGTTGTGTAGTTTGCTGAATGCTAATGTCAGCATTAGGTGACTGTTGCTGTGCACGATGCTTGTTTGGTAAATGTAAGCTAGAGGAGGTGACCAGGTTATCATTACGCATAATTCTGCGCTGACACGGTGTTTTATCCTGAGCTATGGTTATAGACTTATGAGTGCTGTTCAGTCTTAGGTGATCCTGACATTTAGTAAACTCACTAGAATCAAAGGAATCACTGAATTTGAAAATGATGGGACGATTAGTCTGGTTAGAAAAAGGTATAGCGGTACGTTCAACGTTTGCGTTACATTTTAGCTTGATTCGCTATATATTTCTGTTTTAACTGTGAGACTCGCACAAGTGTTTCTCCAGTTCCATAAATTTAACCAATAACTCTTTCACTAATTAGTTATGGTTAGTCATACAAAAAAGCCACGAACTCAGTCACCTGTCAACGTGATGACTAATAGTATAAATATGCTCGCAACGACGAGCTGCACAACTCCCACAAAGTATGGAAATGAGGCACACAGCTTGCCAATACGCCGCAAGCGTCGAGCTGCCGGTTCACTACCATCTACTGTGGCTGAAACTGAGGGCGAAAACTTGCTGACAAACAGCAGTAGCAACGCTTCTACAAACTCAGCACTTGGTCCTGACATAAACCTCTTCACTTCACCCTATGTACGTGTCACAAAACTTCAGATTCCAAGTCCAGCTCCAACACTTACTTCAGAAATAGAACGACTAAAGCTGGCTGTAGAGGAACTGAAGACTGAGATGCGGGACATAAGGTGTAGAAAAGATATGAATGCAGGATTTTCAGAAAATTTGGCCAACTTATCTGAACTATCAACACAGGTTGGTGATATAAAATCACAGGTCTGTGAACTTGCCCCTCTGAACATCTTGACTAAGACCATAAACCCTGGCGAACTTGACACAGAATCAGTATCTAAGATAGACACCTTGATAAACTTCATCACAACAGAGGTTATCAAAAGACTTGATACTAAACTAAGTGTGATTGTCTACAATATACCGGATAATGAGGGGTTGAAAAAGGTTCAAAGCATCTTACTTAGGGCGGCGAAAATGCCTAACTCCCAAACAAAATGTCACAGACTGAAGAAGAGTCAGCACGACCACTGCTGTCCTATACGCCTTCAGTTCGAAACGCAGACAGAGGCTAAAAAATTCACTAACACACAACGTATCCTATTACAGGACACAAGCTACAAACAGGTAAAAGTTGTAGCAGATAAGACAGTGATTGAAAGGCGTGCTTACAATCACCTTAATAAACCAAATGGCAGGACACCTCAAGCCACTAAAACAGATATACACACTACCAACACGGTAGAACTCATAGCCTCCCCCCTCTCTAATCCCGTAAGAATAGCTCCAGAGAAAACGAAACCAAACGAAAGACTTGTGAGCTATGGTCCTACTCCTAAAGTAACCTCTCCTCCGTCTACGGTGGATCTAGATATGTCTATGGACAGCCATAAGATGGTAATCAATCCCTCTTGTAAGCTGACAACATCCTCTCTTAACCAAAACGTGACAACGCAAATGGAACTCGGTAACAAAACAGGCCGAAATACGCCACTTGTTGCGAAGATTCCCCAACATATTCAGACTCCCAAGAATATCTCACGCTTTAAGGTAAATAATATTCAAAACCATGCTAGCAACCAAACTAAAAACAAAAATAAGGACATAGAGCCCAAGGACAACAATGACACAACCTACTTGCATACTGTGCCAAGTCACACTGGTAGCTGGTGTAGTGACGCTATCACGCAATTGGAATTGAGACGCTACATTTTCGTTCTAATTCTTTCAAACCGTATACAAACTATTTACACACAATTTTTACCGGAAACTGTTAAATTTTCACATTCTACACATAAGAATACTTGTGAGATACTATTTTTCCTTGGAAGTATTATATAAACTCTGTTATCACTGACCCTGCCATCTGCAGGTTTTGGATGTATATTTTATGGGATATATCTGGTTCAATTTGGTGAGTCTGTGCAATTTTTCGAAGTTTTGCGTGTTATATTATCTATTCAGTGCTATATCTATAGTTCTGATTTCTTTTCTAACGAACTCCACCCTTTACTGAAGTTGCCCTCCTTTAAGTATCTATTATTCTAATAGGAGGATTGTTATCTGTTAATAGTTGTCGATTTTGTTCTTAATAGTTTATTTTTATTGACTTAGTGTTGATTATACTGGAAATCTGACGTTTTCATCACCAGTCGTCTCAATTGTGTGACAGTCCGAATCTACCTTAAACCCTGATTTTCGGAATTTACTTTTTCGTTAGTTTCATCTGAACTATAGCTTATTTCTCCATTATTTTTGACACGGTGTTACTAGTCCTCAGACTTGTTCTTTTCATATACTTTTTACCAAGGAATTCCTTCAACTTACGATTTTTGCTAATTAACTTCCAGTATCTGACTGAAAAACGGTGAATTTCCACTATTTTCACCTATTATTTCTTTTTCATCTAACTCTAACTTTCTAAAATTGTAATAATCGGTTGCAGCTCGCCGAGCTGAATCTTTTGATACCTATTTTATCCTCATTATTTGCCCATTTCTCTTCCAAATCATTTTGTTTTTGGTACTTTTAGCCATTTCGGCCGAAAAAGTACTTTATACTCAACAAAGGATTTTCTGATCTAGTGACAGTGACAACACCGGTCCTTGTTTTTAATCTCCCTTGGTCTATCTAGTAAGACCGAGGCCTCTTTTCGTCTCGTCATTACCTTTCTATTTCCATCCACGAGACCTTTTTCCACTTTTGCTCCTAATACCACCTATAATATTTCTGATTTATTCAGTCTTCTTCTTCTCTGTCCAAATATCTCTATCATGAACCATCCAAAATAAATTCTTTCATCATTTTTCACCCTGTAGACCTAAAAGCCTCATACTTCTATCGCCTGTGTAAAAGTTGTGAGCCCCCCTCTTCGCATAGTATCCCCCTAACAGGAGAGTTCTGCTGCCTCTTTCCAAAGCTAAACTTGTACATACATCTCAGATTCCAAATCGTCAACACTATTTCTTTATTTTTACAGAAAAAACCCGTAGCTTTTTGCTTTCTCCCAAACTTTTTAACGGGGGGTAGCTTTCGACCACATTTTAGCAACCTTTAAAAATATTGTGATCCTCCCCCTGTTTGTCCAATTGTACCTTCGTCCCTTTCACCCCTCTGAGCCTCTGATCTAATTTCCATAAATCTGCACTGTCTATTCGCTGTACATCTTCAAATTTCACCACATCCCGCCGTAGCTTCTATTCCTAATAGGCCCTATTATTCTCAACTTTCGTTAATTTTGCTCTCGAAATTTACGCAGTTTTCCAAGTTTACGTTGAAATATCTCCTCGTTGTCCTCAACATATTCTGATCACTCTGCGGTTTTTTGTAGTACTGTCAGCGCTCTGTCATTCCCAGCAAACCGCTTTGTCCTGGCATTTTTCTGCTTTTCGGTATTTGTTTTCAAACTTGCTACTGAGACCAATATTTTATGCCTCAGGCACGAACTTTCACTCATTCTCAGTTACTGTAATTTTGCTGTCTTTTGCGCATTGACCGAAATTCAGCCAAAATCCGTTTCCACAGGCTCTACTCACTTTTTATCGATCGCGAGCTAAGCTACTAATCAGCCACTCTGATTGGTGGGCACGCCTATACTACCTGCTTGTATGCTGGTGTATAGGTGTATGGTGTTCTTCTTGAATATTTTGTTTGTCTTTATTTTTTTCGGCCTATGCTTTTTCTTTGCTGGTTCCCGACGACCCTCCCAAGGTTTCTCGGCACGAGGAATCGACTCGTGCAATTCTTATCACCATAGCACCCATCGTTCTCAAGTTGGCTTTGGGAGTGGCCTTTTCGTGTATTTCCTTCTGTACCCGCGTAATTCTTTATTCTTACAGATTCTGAAGTTGATCTTGGTATAATTGTACTCCTCCCGTCGAGACCTGTCGATTGATACCCATATCAATAGCCCATCTCCTATAGTTTCTGTGATTCTGTAACTCATCAACTTTCCCATTACGTCATCCCGCCCCACCCATCTATCAAATTTAAACCCCTGTAACTTCCGCACCCTTTTACTTTCACCCCCCGTGTTTGTACTCATTCTGCTCGTCTCTTCAAGCTCTATCGATTGAAAGCTATATTATCATCCCATCTTCCATAGTCTTCGTCTTCAAAAGTAACCACTCTCCACTACGTCATCCCCACCTCTATTTCGCTGGCTATTTCGCATCGCTGTAACTTTCACATTTCTTCCTCTTTTACCGTTTTTCTTGGCATCTTTCGACTCCTCTCATTGAGATCTGTAGTTTGATACCCATTTTGACGCCGTATCTCTGACAGTTTTGACTTTTGATTATCGACATCCTCCCATTGCCTCATCATCATACTCATTTCGTTGCCTTTCTCGAAGTGTTGTAACTGCCACATTTCTTCACCTCTTCCGTTGTTCTAGGTATTTCTCGACTCTTCTCTCCGTGCTCCTTTGTTCGATAGTCATTCTCACGCTGCATCTCCTTCTTATTGTTTTCGAAAGAGGACTCTTTCATATCACCTCCTCCCCATTCATTTTCGGCTTCCGTTCTTTTTGCTTCAATCCCAAAGTGATTACGTGGAATATCGTATAACAGTACCTTTCTTTTCGTTTGTTTTTATCTCTGTTTTGTTTTGTTTTTGTTTGCTTTGTTTGATTTTGGTTTAACCATTTGTCAAGCCACAGGTGAGGGCCTATGAACGGTCCGTGGCACAACTAACAGTCCATCGTTGGTTGTCCTCCAAACTCGAGCCTGCGATGCCGCAATCTCCAGTCATGTCAGCTATGTCAAGCCAACCCTCATCACAATCCATGGCCTCTGCCATGATTCAAGCTGACCCTCAAACAACAGACTCCTATTCTCCTTCCTTCATCTCCTAATTGCCAGCAGCTCATTTTTCGCCCCTCACATCCAATCTGTCATCACCTCACTCCATGCTGTCCAATCAATCCCAATCCTCAATCGTATCTCCAAGATTCCTGTGTATATACTGTCCTTCAAACTTCGCTTCTCCGAGAGGTTTGACTCAACATCTGCGTCAAATCCACCCCGCCGAATACAATGAGGTCCTTCTCGGTCGCCTCCTCAACGACTGTCGAACACGACGAAATTGGTCCCAAAATGAAGAACTCACTTTACTGATGTTAGCAGATGCAGCAGTCGACCGATTCAACAGCAAAGCTGAACTGTATCAACACTTACACGACCATCTGCCACATCGCTCAGTTGAAGCCATCAGACGCCGTCTACAAACGCTCAAATGGTCAACATTTGTCCCATCATCTTCACGCTCCGCATCAACCATTGACTCCTACTCGATGCCATCCTCACCTGCATCATCACATGAAAACTATGCTATTAGATCAGCACTGTATGTACGTCCAAGAACTCAAACCTGGTCCACTCAAGAAGATGCTCGATTGATCTCAACGGCCAAATGTCTCGATTCACCTTTACTTGCGCCTATACAGTTCTTCGCTCTTGTCGCCGAAGCCGTTGGCAACCGCACCACTGATGCAGTTAGACTACGTCTAGCCAGGCTAAAATGGAGACGTACACTCAACCCATCTCTGCCAACAATAGTCCTAACTCCAAATACTTTTTTATCTCCAAATTCAGCCAGTTACCTCGCTCACTGATACGTTCACCGTCAACAGATCAATC